AATCTTCCATCCCTTACAACTAGGATTTAGACGAGGAAAAGGCTGCACAGAATCAATATCTTACTTAATCACCCAAGTCCAAATAGGCTTGGCATCAAATAATTATACTGTTGGTCTATTCCTTGATATTTCGGCAGCTTATGATAGTGTAAATATATATCTTCTATACTCCAAATTAGCCAATATTGGCATTTCAATAGAGCTATGCAACCTTATCTATGCATTTCTAAATAACAGATCCATTTCAGTCTCAGATAACTGTGGTCAAAGTCATGGACCACGAACCTCCAATCAAGGACTTCCTCAGGGATCTCCCCTTAGCCCGATTTTGTTTAATGTCTATATGTTATCTTTATTCAATATTATACCAAAAACCTTTAAATTAATACAATACGCGGATGACATTGTAATTTTGGTTAGTGGAGAAAATGTGTTCAATATTACTATAGAAATAAACTCTTTATTGATTGCTTTTAAAGACTGGCTCGATGAGCACAATTTCAACTTGTCTATAACTAAATCATCGGCTCTCCTTTTTTCAAAAGGTCCTATTAAATTAATCCTTCCAAAAATTAAATTTAATGATACAATCATTCACTGGTCAGATTCATTCAAATATTTAGGCATTTACATTCATAAACACTTAAAATGGAATGCACATATAAAATACATTGAGCAAAAAATTAACAGAGGTTTAAATGTCATGCGAGCTCTTTGTGGTACGTGGTGGGGCATGGATCCAAAAATATTTCGCATAATACACAACGCTATCATCTTAAGTCATATAGATTATGGATGCCAGGTAATTTCTCCATGTCCGAAGTACCTTCAGAAGAAGTTGGACAGGCTACAATATCAGAGCTTACGTGTCATCACTGGTTGTATGAAATCAACCCCAATTTATGCTTCGCAAGCAGAGAGCGGGGATATCCTCTTAAACTTAAGGAGAGACTGGCTTTGTTATAAATTTCTTTTAAAAAATCTTGCATTGGAAAATAACCCTGTCATCAATTCGTTAAAACATTTGGAAACACTAAATAAAGAAAGAAATGTTTACAAAAAGGTAACTGACACTCCAGTATTATTAAGTTTAATGAACCAAATGGATGAGTTCCTTCCGAATATGTATTCTAATGAATTGCTGCCATGCCATGAATTTGAATTGGACATCCAACTCTCTTCAATTCCAGTTTTAAATCTTAGATCAATTAGGGATGACACTTATGGATTATCCATTTTTACTGACACAATAAACGAGCTACCCGGTTACACAAAATTCTTCACCGATGGATCTGTGGGACCTTCTAATGATTCAGGCTTCGGTGTATTTTCTCCAGACCTCAATTACGTGTTTTCAAGGAGACTACCTCAACATACACAAATATGTACTGCATAAATTATTGCAATTAACCATGCCTTGCAAATCATTTTAGAAAAAAATATATTGAACTCAGTTATCTTCTCGGACTCCAAATATGCTTTACAAAAAATTGGAAATATGAAATTCTCTACATCATTGCTCCTTTCTAACAAAACAAGGTATCTTACTTGCTAATATGAATAACATCCACATCACTTTGGCATGGATTCCAGGTCACTCCGGCATTATTGGCAACCATAAAGCCGATCAATTAGCAAATATAGGCAGAATCCTTAAAATTCCTTTAAATATTAAACTCAATAAGTCTAACTTTTTACCCTTCATTAAGCAAGAAATTTGGAACAAATGGCATCAACAATGGAATTCACTAAAAGAAAACAAAACATCTTTTTACTTCCAAGTGGTTCCTAAAATACCCAAAACTCCGTGGTTCAATAGTAAACAATGCTATGAAAGAAGGTACCTTTCCACAATCATACGGATGAGAACTGGCCATTGTCTAACCCCATATCACTTATTTCGAATTGGTATTAAAGATGACCCATTTTGTGAGTGTGGAGAAGTTGGATCCCCTTTTTGATGTATATTTGGAACTAACGAAGGCTGGTTTATCAGCCCCATTTGATATTCGATACATCTTGTCTCATTTGGATGATAGAAGAATAACCACCCTTTCTAAATTTTTAAATTTCTTTAAAATCATTATCTAGTAGAAGCAAATCAACTATATCTGGGTAAATTGTTCGCAGTAACATAGCCCAAAAAAAGAAAAGAAGAAGAAGAACTATCCCTATGGTATTCTAAATAAAAGCAAATTAATAATATACTTAATGTGACAGAAGTAGTTAAAAAAATCAGGTTAAATTCGACTAGTACTCTAAAATCCTCAATATTTCACTCGGCTTTGCTGTCGAAAAACAATGTTTATTTTCCTCGCGATAAATTAAAAATTAAAAAAAGACGGTGCTAATGAACGTGGTGTTAGCTCAGTGAATGTGGTCGGATTTTCGGAAAAAATATTCCTGGCGAAAAGTCACTTTTGAAGGATTATTTTCCAAGGGATGCGGTTTACTACAGTCGATGCAGTGACGGATAAGGGAATAACGTAGTGATGGACGGTAATTTGTAAATGAAAAGTTTCATTGTTTGCCGGAGTAGTCAAGGGTCTAATGACTGGGGGAACCTTGGATGTTGAGAAATTAAGTCGGCGAAATAAGACTCAATCATGCTTACGTAACTTTAGAACTCACAAAACAATATTCGTTACAAAGTTGAGAATTCAATTATTTGCTGGACTGGCCTCTCTTACGAAAATTCAGAAAACCTTAAGATATAAAGTTCGTCCTTGTATAGGCTAATTTTCTCGGATTATCACAAATTATTTATTTTGTTAATTTCTAACAAGCGACAGCCGATTTAGATGATAACTAATTAAATCCCAATGGTAAAGGCTAATAATGAAAGAATCCTACCTTATATTTTCGACGGCTTTCACTCGGTCAGTTCTGAAAATAATGACAATTCTGGAGGTAAACGGTTTTAATTTTAACACTGAAGAAAAAAAAACAGCAGAAGCAGGGTCAAACGAGCTCAGCGGAAAGAGAGAGCATTTTTTAGGAGGTCGGCTTTATACTTTTACGCTCAGACTAGTTCGGTTACCAAGTGGTTCGGAGTGGGAGTAGCCAATATTTACAAATCCGAGGACTGAAAAAATGTCCTTTTGACTTTTGCAAAAATGACCATATACTTGAATTTGAATGTTTCAAACTGGATTCGAATATCAGTAAATAATGAAATATTTTGAACTACGAGGACTCTCACGAATGTTAAAAAAACGGAAGTTCTAAGAAATAAAAATACGGGGGTTCTTGAGAACGCTAACATTTTTATAATTAATATAAAGGAAAATTTAGTGACTTCGTCACAACATTTAAAATCGATTCAATTACTGTACCAAGAACAACCAAAACAATTGGCCAGATACATAAACAATTGAAAACATTTAAATTTCAAACTATTTTATTTTACTACTATCCGCATTACACCTCAAGGTATTGTGTGTTGCCTTATATCTATAAAACGAAATAAGATTTGGTTTTAGGGACTGGCTACTAATTATTATTTAAATTAAACGTTTAAAAATATTAAGATTAAATAATAATAAATATTCTTGCATTTATTCGAATAGTTACTTTTCATCTAAAGTACGAACTTCATAAATATTACGAGTTCTCAAAATCTGGATTGTTCAATAGTCACTTCCAATACCTAGAACTTGACATTCGGAAGATGTTCGAAAATTATTTTTGGTTCCGAAAGCGAATGTGAGGTTAAGTAGTTTATACTTTTTTTTATGTGTGTTATTGGTTTCATACATTGAGTGTTACTCCTCAGTATAGGGTAAATTTAATTACCATTCTATTTTTTAATTAGGTAATAATGAGTTAGGGTCCTAGTAGGAGTTTCCTCGTTTTTAACTAGATGTACCAAAACGCCCATTTTGGGTAACTTCCTAGCAATAGCGGTAGCAGCCGAGAAGGCAATGTTGCTGGGAATGATGTGGACCATGACTATGTTAGTTTTATGTCTCGGGAGCCCTGGCTACTCAGATGCCCGGACCAGCTTGTAAAACGTCCCATGAACAAGTTGGTGCTGAGACGACTAGGAAATCCTATCATCTCTTAGTGCAGCTCCTTCTAGAGTATCTGAAAGCATTCAGATATTGCAAGATGATTCATCCCTCGTCATTGAATGGATGATGTTCAGTTGCCTCAAGCGTAACTTATTTTGGGTGAGGTGGCTTAAGCATTATTTTCAATAGTTTTTAATAAAACTTTTAGTATAGTCATATTTGTATGAGAATGAATAGTGGTTAATTTTGATGATATTTTATCTTGCGGATGTAAGTTAAATATTTTTCTTATGGTGTATTTCATTATTCAATTATTTTTCTTTAAAGACAAATGAGTCTTATGTGCGCCGTCGATATAGATCTATATCTAAGGTATTTAGAGAACCATATTATAAGTATAAACTAGTATTTCAGGTATATTTGTTTAGACATTATGTCCTAAATTTATTTCACTTTAGTTATTTGGATTTATTATCGTTAAGTTGACCTTATTACTTATATAATATTTTCTATGATTTGGAAAATGAAATAATAAATTTTGACTCCGTCTTTTAGCATTTAGTATTACTCTGATTGACCTTAGTTGCTTAATTTTGCAAAAATGTGATCGTTGTTTTAGTACGGAAATAGCAATGACATTTCTTACCCCTGCTCAGGATTTTACTTTTTTTCATTTTTATTTACCAACATAACAAATTATTAATATACGTTAAATATATAACATTGTATTTTCATGGCAAATAAAAATTACTACTACTACTCACATCTATGTCTCCGTCGCGTACGGACTACTTTAGGAATCCCATAAGGAATCGCTCGGTATACTACAAACTACCTTCAGGACCAATGATCGCCCTATGCTGAAACCGGCTGGCACACAATAAATTCAATAAAAGACATTCCTAGTGATGTGATAATTTTAGACAGCAGTTTACTTATTTACCTTATTTCAGCGAGATGAAGAAACTTATATAAAAATTTTGTTACCTCACTATCCGAAGAGTCACCATTGGAACTAGGTGGCGGTGGGGGTATTTCATGCGATGATAATGACGGTGTCGTTGATGTTGTTGGTGAGGCATCTGGTAGCGGAACAGTCTTGGTAAGAGGCGGAATCACCGGAGGTGGAGGTTGACCACTGCTGCAGTGCGTTGGAGGGACTGATATTAAAGGTCCAGCGGGTTGATAGTATCCTGTAAAGAAACATTTCTAGTTAAGACATTGAAGTACGTTTTGTCCAGTTCATTAAAGACAATTTCCAGATTTCAGTACTTTTATTTTGTTATTGTGGTAAAATGTTCACGGCAATGAAAAATTAAGGTAATTATGGTAATTATTAAAAGGGAATTTACTTTGGTAATTGTTCCTATCAATGCAAACTTTTGGTAGTACCCCACTTTTAAAATTTATTTTTATTTTTACTGAAAGAAAAAATATGTAGGTACATATGGTTAAATGTTAAATCTATATTTTTTTCATATTTTAACGATTTTCACAAATTTTTTAGAAAAAACTGAATTGATTTTTGAAGGTGGTTTCAGAGGAATACATATTTTTAAGCTTTACCTAAAGGTACAGTTTTTACTCAATTAAATTGATTAATAAACTATAAAAATGGGATAGTTTCAAAACTTTCCGTGGCTATATTTCGTATTAATTAGAAAGCAGGAATGCAGTTGATAAAATGAAATTAACAAAAATAACATTTCATAGGTTAGTATACAAAATGATAACAATAAACAGGGTAGTATTTGAAAAATAGATTTTTCAATTTCTGGGTTAAAACATTGTACGGTATTTGTTTCATATACTTATTTTGTTATTGTTTAGGAAGTCCATTTTATGCTGTGCAAGAGTGTAATTTTTCCATCTAACACAAAAATGGCAGGAAACCGTATACATATTTTAACTAATAAATAAAGCCCGAATAACAAATGTTTTCTTTCAGATTTCCTAAAGAAGAAAATTCTGACAGTGAATTGAATGAATTAGTTAACAGGGATCATGATTATTTGCCAGACCCTATGTCGAAATTTTCCATACATACACAGAAAAGCTTTACATTTGTTTGAAATAAAGCAGAGTTTGCTTAAAAATAATATTTCTCGATACAATAAGAAATTAAATGTTGAATGAAGTGTAGGCATAATTTTGTATTTTAAGATTTATAATAAATCTGAGAATAAATTATTTAGAATTGTTAATTAATCCAAGAAAGCTCTTACGTTTATTGTAAGTATAATATGCTCTTAAAACCGACCAACGCGTACTTGATTCAATGTTATAAAAGGATTCGATTCAAACCATTTAAATTTCAGAACAAGAATTAAACAATTGGAATCAAAAACCTATGTACTTCACAAAAGATTAGCGAGTACAAATTCACTGCACGGCGTTGCCAGCTGTAACTTATTTTAAAATACAATCACTGCACTCGTACGGTAGATAATATGACTGGTAAATGTTGAGATGTGATAGTAAATTATTCGGAAGTCAGAGACACAAATTATAAATGGAAATATTTTTTCAAATTTTCTAGTTTATGGTTATAATTAATCACCATTGGATAACCTCGGGTATTGTCAATAAAAGCTGTGGCAGATAAATATGTAAATGTTAGGCTATATTATTTTGCCAAACAAAAATAAAATAAATCTGAGAGCATAAGGCATTACAGTAATAAGATAGTTTGGTTTAAAGGTCAATACATTTCTCTTTTTTTCTTTTCTTCCCATTTTATTTTGTTTCAATCTTTTAAAAACGCTTTGGATATTTATATGACCCTAGTTGAAAGAAAAAAATATATTATTCAAAATATATGAAAATTCTTATAATTTTAGAGTCAGGACCTGGCGAGGCATCCACATTGTTACGACTATGAAGACTAGAGGGAAGGAGGCAATCGGCAATGGTCAAATTTCCGTCCTTCTTTTTATAAAGTTCGCAAAATTGACTGTAGTTGGCATGTCTAATGACAGCGCCGCCAATTTTCTATGTCAATGTAAAATAAAGTGATTTTTTAAAAAAATTGATGAACAGAATTAAAATAATGTGAAAAAAAGTACCTGAGTACAAGTAACATGAGTGACAAAAAACATCAAAGCAAGATTTACGTCGTTTCAGATTGTAAAACAGGATAAAAATCAAATGTAAAACTAAAGAAAACACAAGAAGAAATCAATTCAATGTCTTTTTAAAGCTTTTAATGTAAGCAAAATAATGTATTCATGTCGAAATATAATATTTATTGTAAACTAGTCACAATATGCATCTTACGAAGTGTAGTTTATTTTATTATAAGTTTCTATAATATAAAATTTTACAGTTATAGATGCTGACATACAAACAACAATAATTATGCATTAAATTTAACTTACTAGAAAAGAAAATTGATGTTTTATAGAGTTTTAATGTTAGATAAAGAGTTGCTAATGTTATATTTTTTTGGACCCCAATTGTGTCATTGTAAATGTTTTTTATAGGATACTAAACGTTTAGAACAGTGGCAGCATATATATCGTTCCTAGTGCCGATAACGCACTTTCTAGAGATGATGCTGTTCTATACTTTTTAGAAGATATTATCAAATATTATGAGACTATTTTTACTGATGGTACTGTTAGCAAAATAAAAAGGGGAAAGCTGAAATTAAAGAATGAGGTAATACCATATACATTCCCAAATCTACCTTTATACTTGTATTACAACAATAAAAATCTGTTAACTGTGTTTTATTTTACTCTTAAAACTATATATTGGTTCAATTAAAAAAAAATTGCCACAAAATTGTACTTATCAAATTTCAGCAATTAAGAAATCTTTTCGAATTTGGTCATACATACCTAATTTGTATTTTATATAGATAAAATTAAATAATTTATCAATTAAAACATGCAAGACTTATTTAGAAATAAATACAACAGTATGTTCTGTTCTTTATTTAGATGTAAACAAGTTTATTTTTATTATTTTGACAAAATTATGTATAATTCTCATAAGGATCCATGTATTTTGAACAACGTATGCAGTACCAGCGCCCATGCGGTTAATTATAGAAGTTCAATTAGCATGCGTTTTTTGGTACCGTATTTTGAGTATGCCGATTCGTCTTTTTATCTCTAGTCTTCATAGTTACGACTCTAAGCCACGCCTAGTACGTTTTATTTATGTGTGAAATAATCCTTATAGCGCCTCTTTGTAATACTACCTCAATGGATCTTTTAATCTAAAATATTTTGACAGATTTCCGTTGTTACTTGATAGTCCACGATCCGAAATAAAGTCGACCTTCACCCATTTTTTAATTTCCTTTCCGTAATACAGATAAGGAAAGTATAGGAATTATGATAAAAGTTGCTTGTGATGTCATTCTTAGTGATGTGAGTTGGGTAAATACCCAGTAGGTAGGTAAATAAATTGTGGGTATTTACCCGGTATATTTCCAGATATTTACCTACGCAAAAACATAACCTAAAATAATTTATTGTTGGTTATGTTACACATGGCAGTCGCGACAAGTGCTGCGTCTGAATATCCACATCGGATGCATCTGAGATGTGAATTTTTTATCACGTGATAGAGGATTAGAATTAAATGTAGATGTAATAAAAAAATGCTCTAGACTTTATTGACCACGTGATAAAATGGCAATGACTAGTTAGAAGTTTATACTTTTTAAATTTGGGATTTGAGACTAGAAATCAACCTAAATTTGAAATCTAAACAAAAATTAAACAAACTAATTACTTTTATATTTACGTTAACATAAACAAAGGATCAATCGATAAACTTGGCTTCACAGAACACCTACTTTCTGGCATGGAACGAACATATCATTCACATTTCATTTCAAATTGAGATGTAAAAAATGTTATCTGGACAGCTACATCTCGGATAAACAAACGCAGATGTAGATGTAGTTATTAGGTTCTTTCGTTCGTCCCACTGGTGTAGGAATGAACTACACCAACGCACACCATACCTTTCATTTGGCCCGGTGTAAAATCCACTACACCTTCCTGTCGGCGATGTGGTGTCCACTGGTGGATAGTTTCTCCACCAACTATTTAGCAGGAGTGAATTACTCTCGACATGAGTATCAGGAATAAGGAGGAAGTAAACTAGGTAAATAAAGATGTTGTAACTGGTGTAATTTACACTGGTGGACATTGCACCAACAGCGAACGAAAGAACCTGATGTGTCTGATGTGGATAAACAAACGCAAAATGCATCGGATGTGGATATTCAAACGCGACAAAGGATGTTATAAAGCACAAAACAGGTGATATTAGTTGTTAATACTCATAGTCAATCTACAAAGCAGGTAATATTATTTGTTAATACTCATAGACAATCTCCACTCTCATTATGGGTAGAAGAAGAAAAGTTGTCTGACAATTTTACAACACAAAGAAACAGAAAAGGTGTGCAAATTTTGCAATAAACGGTTTGAGTTTTCAAATGTGAATTAAATAGAAAAAGACACATTGAAATGTTTACACTATCCCATAAATATAAAAAAAATCTTGCCAAAGCTGTACTAATCAGTGGAACTCCTTTATCAATGGTAGAACATCCATTATGGATTGAATTCTTCAAACAAATAAGGCTCTCTTTCGTATTGCCTTCTAGACATCTTACTTGAATAATAAACATGAGGCACAGCAAAGCGAAATGAAAGCAGATTTAAAAGATTCGAAAAATTTGCACTTGCAATGAGACGGATGGAGTAACCTTCGTAACGAGTCAATTGTTAAACCGAAACCACGGTTTGTCGACTTTATAATTACCAAAACCAACAGACACAATGCCGAATATTTATCAAATCAAATGCAGAATGTGTTAGAAAAGTATGGGCCTGAAAAATTTCTGGTTATCATTGGTGACAATGCTGCAAATATGAGAGGAGCTTTCCGATTATTAACCGAAAATTGTGCCATCAGGCTGTATTGCCCATTGCATTTAGTTTGGAATGATATATTGAGCTGCGAGTCTATCAAAACATTTATGACAAAAGTTTCACATGCTATAAAAAATTTCAAAAACAGTCATCAAGCTTTGTTTATTAAAATCACCAAAGAAAAGAAACTCTGAAACTGGCTGTAAGAACACGATGGCGAAGTCATTTGTTTTGCCTACAGAGTCTTCGCCTAAATAAAAGTGCTCTACAAACACTAGCGGTAAGTGATGAAGTATCTGTAACACTATTTAAAAACTTTATTACTTGACGATTCTATATTTTGGGTACAAGTTGACAAAATGATAAATATTTTGAGGCCAATTGTTGATTAGTCTCCATTGAAAAAAGTGGAGGAAACTTTGGTGCTGAAAAACTGAGCGAAAGAAAAGATTTTGCAATAGGAAAAATACATTTAGCTGCATTCATGTTGGATGCATCCTCCCAAGGTCATCAATTGACTGGAGAAGAAATAATGGATGCCATATAATTTATAATTGACACAGCTACAAAAATGGGATTGGGACTAAAAATTTGCAGGATTAGAGGCCTTCTAGCAGATTATAGAGATAAGGAAGGCATATGGTCGAAAAGGTTCATCTGGGAAGGAATGAAAGATATTAATCCTCTTACTTAGTGGAGAGGTATCCGTGACACAAATATACTACTGTAGCAGATGTTGCAATTAGGATTATGAGTGCACCTGTAACTTTTGCTGCTACTCAACGATCCTTTAGCACTTGCAGCTGGCAAAATTACTTACTTAGGCTACAAATGGACAATTAAGCTATTGTGAAATAAATGTTTTAATTTCAATAAATATTTTTCATATCAATTGATTAAATTTAATAGATATCGAGAAATTTGCCCATTTTGGGTAATATTATTAAGCTATTGCATAGCTTTTATCGCGGGCTTTGAGCGCGGCGACCGAATCAAAAAATTTCCGTAACGACCGTAACGAAAATAACCTAACACCCCCACTCCGACTGGCACAGCGGTGCAGCGTTGAATGCCGTGGAAGGTTTTATCCGAATCCGACCCTATTCGTATTAGTATGAAGCGGAGTTAAATTTACGTCTCCGGACGTTTATGCAATACAAGAACTAGAAGTTAAGTAATAATGATACTTTTATACTTTTTAAATCATATATTTATGTGATTCCATTAAATTACAATGTAGGTATCATTTGACATGATAAAATTTTGTTTCCCATTTATTTTTGTTTAAATATAAAAGTAATAATTCGTAAATATTTGTAATCAAATGTTATATATTAGTATAAATGATTCCAAACTTATATCAATATGTGCTCGGTGGCGCAGGACGTACAGTGGTCAAAATTTGGATAGTGTGGATAGCAAAGTTGTTGGTTCGAGCCCCGAAACTTTTAGTTTTTTTGTTTTTTTTTTTCCTTAAAAAAAAAAGGAAAAACATTAAGCTATTGCATAGCTTTTATCGCGGGCTTTGAGCGGCGACCGAATCAAGAAATTTCGTAACACCGTAACGAAAATAAACCTAACACCCCCACTCCGACCGGCACAGCAGTTTGACTTTAAAGCCATGGAATATTATATTCGACCCTATTCGTATTAGTATGAAGCGAAGTTAAATATACGTCTGCGGACTGGAACAGTTGTGCAATACAAGAACTAGAAGAGCTTCTAATAAATTGGTATCACAAATGTTCCCGACAATTGAAAGTTTAGGTAATTCTAAAAATACTATTAATTTAGGCAGACACTTTTGAGAGGGTTTAATTGCCGGCCAACATAAAAATAAGTCTTATTTACTATAGAAAAATATTTTAAATTCATATTTCGGAGTATAATCGGAGTATAATAAAAAAATGCATTTATTTAGATGACTTATGTTTAAACTTTTAATCTCTCAAGATTAAAAATTAATACAACTAAGTAATAATGATACTTTTATAGTTTTTAAATCATATATTTATGTGATTCCATTAAATTACAATATAGGTATCATTTGACATGATAAAATTTTTCGTAAATATTTGTAATAAATTGTTATACAGGGTTGGCCAAACCTCTGTCGTAGTTCTATAACTCCTACTATGCAAATCTTAACGATTTATTTGATGTATACCTGTCAATGGTGGCCAATACTAAATATCTCAAAATTATTTTCTTGTGTACAGGGTGGCCCAATAGTAAATTAGGCAAATCGCTTAATTTTTTTTAAATGGAATGACCCAACTTTTTTTACAATTTTAGGTACTTTATGGTCACTAGTACATACCCACAAAATATTGTTTCTAACATCCCACCCCTTTCGCAGAAATAAAAATTACCAAAAAATATTACATTTTCAGACGCCTATTAAAATATACAGTGCTCTCTCGAATTTGATGTTAGAATTTAAAAAACTACGATTGTATAAAGCCAATAGACCAAAGATTTTTCTGGACCAAGTTTGAATTTTTTATTTTGTACAGGGTGGTCACAAATTAATTTCACTTTCAAATTTTTTTAAATGTATTACCCTGTATTTCTATTCATCAACTGAAGGAGAATTTCATACCCTTCCACTTCCCTATGTACTTTCCTATACCTATCTGTCGCCGTTATAAAATAAATTCAAAAGGAAGAAAATTACGATAATAAAATTTATTTGAAATTTATCCTAAAACATAAATTTACATTTTATAAAAGATGATCAAAATGTCTACCATTTTCTCTAATGCATACATTTATTCGTTGGGCGAATGATCGAGAAACGTTTCTAAGCATAACAGGTGTAATGGAATGGAAAGCTTGCACTATCCTTTCTTTCATATTTTCAGGTGTTGTAGGTGGCGTAAGATAGACTAGATTTTTAATATAACCCCACAAAAAATAATCGGGTTTTGTTAAGTCAGGTGATCGAGCTGGCCATTTTTTTGGACCATTTCTACCAATCCATCTATTTGGAAACTATCTAATTCATCTGCCACTTCGCGTAAAAAATGCGCTGCTGCCCCATCATGTTGGTACCACATTGTTAGTCTTACAGCAAGGGAAATGTTTTCAAGTAAAGTAGGAAGATGATTTGCTAAAAAATCTAAATACATCAGACCATTTAAGTTGCCTTCAAAAAAATACGGCCCAATAACATGATCCCCAATTATACCTCCCCAAACATTTACACTCCATCTTTCTTGGCTATGTGTTCTGATGATGTTAGGATTTTCCGTGGAATAATAGTGGAAATTATGTCTATTAACGAATCCGTTCTTGTGGAATGTAGACTCATCAGAAAACAGCACTCTATAAAAAAAAAAATGAATTTTGTTGCAGTTTAGTTTGTGCCCAGTTACAAAACACCATTCTATTATCAAAATCGGTGTCTTTCAGCTCTTGATGCAATTGTATTTTATAAGGATGATATTGATGCTGTTTTAAAATCCTTCTAACGGATGTTCTACTTATACCTACTACTTCGGCAATCTTTTTTTGACTTACATGAGGATCTTCTATCGCTGTCAAAATTACAGATAATTGGTTATCATTATTAGTAGCACGTTTGTCAATTATTGGTTTTTTATCAGCAACATTTCCTGTTTCGGTAAATCTTTCATGTAACTTTTCAAAACTTTTTTGATCAGAGATGCGTCTATCGGGATAACGTTGATGATAAATTCTTTTTGCCAATAAACAATTTCTGTCGGATTCTCCCAAAACATAGACCATGTCAATTAATTCGTTTTTCGTAAAATTCATTATTAATAGAAGAATTATCGCGATCAGTAAAAATAACTTGACACTTCATTAATAAATAATTTGACACTTCATTAAGACCCAGCCTACTTGATTGAATGTTCACTTTCAATAAAACCACTGGTAGAAATTGGATTTTTGATAGATCAATGTCTTTTTGGAATTTACTTTTAAACGACGACAGATAGGTATAGGAAAGCACATGGGGAAGTCGAAGGGTATAAATTTCTCGTTTCATCGATGAATAGTAATACAGGATGTTCTATTTGAAAAATTTGAAAAAAATGTCCTAGAAATTTTTGGAAATTGAAATTAATTTGTGACCACCCTGTACAAAATAAAAAATTAAAACTTGGTCCAAAAAAATCTTTGGTCTATTGGCTTTATACATTTGTAGTTTTTTAAATTCTAACGTCAAATTCGAGAGAGCACTGCATATTTTAATAGGCGTCTGAAAATGTAATATTTT